GAAAACGTTTAAATTTTGATTTGATTTTGTTTTAATATATCATGGAGAAAAACTCTATAGGAAAAATATCGGATTGATATCAACAAAATTATTTTAAAGATTGGAGCAAATAGGAAAAGAAACGCCAAGAAAAATTTTTTGGAAAAATTAAAAAAAAAGCATTTCGTCCAAACTTCTCCCATTTCCCTGAGTCTCTGCGTAATTGCGTATTACACAGTATCTTTAAATTGTATACCAAATTCTGAAATTGTATGTCATCTACGTGTGCCAGGCAAAGCACATAATCTTGGATATTATTAACAGATGAAACAAGCGCTTCGGAAAATCTCGTTTTATTCAATCTTTTAATCCCAAGAAGATTAGAATCTGTTCTACAATAACAAAATTAAAATTTCCTTTTTTCCCGTCGAGATCAAAAGACTTCCTTGTAGAACGCATACACAATTTTACCTCTAGTCTCTCGTTTTTAATTAAAAAATAAAAACATTTAGGACAGAAAAAATATTAATTATATTTTTAATTCTAAATCTTTTTAAAATCGTTTAACTTATTTGCATAACAAAAGAAAAGTTTAGGTAAAATCTGATAACGCATTTCAATTCAACGATGTAGGCTTTTAAATTGTGATCCAATTTAACTTTTAGTTATCGCTGAAGAAAATTGGACATTTCTACCCCAAGGTAAGCATAATCTGGTTGAGAATAAATCTTTTGTTATATTTAAAAACCATTTTTAAAATAGATGCATTTTACTTGTAATGTAATTACTGTGTTTTTCGTATTTTGATAAATATGGGTTACGAGTCAGTTCAGTCAGTTGCATGGAACGGTAGAGCAAGAAGAAAAGGATGTCCGTTAGTACTTCTTAGATCTTCTTAGAGGAAACTTCCAAGGGTTTTCAGTTTTGTTTTGCGCTTGATTTGATTCAGTGCTTTTTGCACCGGATACACACCAAAACGGCCGCGATTCTTAACATCTTAAGATTTCGTCACGGCAAACATGCCCATCCAGCCCAGAAGAATAGTATTGCCAGCGGTTTCACCTTAAGGGAAATGACTTCGCCCTTGACCCACCTGCTCCTTCGCCCACCCCACACGAGCTACCGGCTAGTTCGAAATGGATCCAAATATAATAGGCACGATTGTTAGGGAGACTTTCGCGTGATAAATCCAGATCCAGTCAATCTTTCTGGATTAATAGACCTCTTTATGCGAAAAGTCGTGAGAAAAACATTCAAACCGGTATGCTTTGCCTATGAAATTTGAGCTACTTTTGCCATTTATAAATCATGCAAAACACTTTATCTTGGCTAGGTTGTATTGCTAACAAAATATTTTTTTGCGTTTCAAAGTGAAAAATATGGTGTTATCGGGGTAGCCAGTTCAGATGTTTTTCTAAAAGAACACTACCAAACTAAACTTTCAATGTTATAGTTTAAATTTCTTTTTATTGAAATAAAAGGTATAGCTAAATTATATAGCTTCATCATAGCTAAATTGCCATCCGAATTTCAAAAAATACATTAATGTTGTTGCCCGCTTCCGATCATCTGTACCAACCCATTCTGTTCTGGTCTGAGACGTGTGTTGGCTTCAGTCCTATTCAATTTTGTACTTGTTTAAAATTTTTGTCTTCAAATCATCAAATCGTGCCCCAGATCGTGGGTAAGCTAGTTGAGTAGTCATTAGAGGTAGCTAAGCTGTTTGTCGATCCGCAGGTCGTGCCTATGGTTTACAATTTGCTAGGCGATGCTAACAAAGCTTACTAATTTTACTAAGCAGAATAATCATTAGGCGTGGCTGGATTGGTTGACCAGTTTATGGATGTGACTAAGTTGGTGGTCGATTTGCTGGGCGTGACTAAACAACGTGACTAGTCATAGGGCGTGGCTATACTTGCAGATTAATCACTGGGCGTGGCTTTCTTGGTCGACAGACATTGAGCGTGGCTCTGTAAGAAAAGTTGGTTGACTAGTCGACGTGGAAAAGTTGTTTGGTCGTGTCTCACTTGGTTTACAATTTGTTGGCCGAGATAATTAAGTTTGCTCATTTTACGAAGCTGATTAATCATTAGGCGTGGCTACGTTGATTGATTGAAGTGACTTGGCAAAGTTGTTGGACGATTTGCTGGACATGGCTAACAAACTTGACTAGTCATTGGGCGTGTCTATATTTGCAGTCTAGTCATTGGGCGTGGCTATGTTTGGAGGTTAGCCATTGGGCGTGGCTATGTTTGCAGGTTAGGCATTGGGCGTGCCTATGTAAGATGAGTTGTTATTGGGCATGAATAAGATGGTTGTTCTTTGGACAAGGCTAAGTTGTTTGGCAATCCGCTGGTCGTGTCTCACTTGGCTTACAATTTGCTGCCCGATGCTAATTAAGCATACTAATTTTACTAAGCTGATTAATCATTAGTCGTGGCTACGTTGGTTGATAAGTCATTAGACTAGACAAAGTTGGTAAACGATTTGCTGGACGTAGCTGACCAACCTGACTAATCATAGGGCGTGGCTATGTTTGCAGGTTGGGCATTGGGCGTGGCTATGTTTGGAGGTTAGCCATTGGGCGTGGCTATGTAAGATGAGTTGTTATTGGACATGGATAATTCGGTTGACTAGTCATTGGACGTGGCTAAGTTTTTTGAACATCCGCTGGTCGCGTCTTACTTGGCTTACAATTTGCTAGCCGATGCTAATTAAGCTTACTAATTTTACTAAGTTGATTAATCATTAGTCTTGGTAAAGTTGGTGGACGATTTGCTGGACATCGCTAACAAACCTGACTAGTCATAGGGCGTGGCTATGTTTGGAGGTTAGCCATTGGGCGTGGCTATGTAAGATGAGTTGTTATTGGACATGGATAATTCTGTTGACTAGTCATTGGACGTGGCTAAGTTGTTTGAACATCCGCTGGTCGTGTCTTACTTGGCTTACAATTTGCTAGCCGATGCTAATTAAGCTTACTAATTTTACTAAGATGATTAATCATTAGTCTTGGCAAAGTTGGTGGACGATTTGCTGGACATCGCTAACAAACCTGACTAGTCATTGGGTGTGGCATTTTTTACAATTCGTTTACTCTTTGCTGGGGCCGGTTACGTTGATGACAACTTGCTGGTTGGCAACTTGGCTAACTTGATTGACAATTTGTGCGTGGCTAACTAAGCTGACCAGTCGGTCGGTCACGTGGGCACCTCTAAAGCCAAAACCACAATCAAAAAACAATAAGTCAGTTCGGTGTGGTCCCGTTACATGTCAATTGCTGGGCGTGGCTTTGCAAATTGACTAGCTATTGGCGGCCAAGTTGGTGGACGATTCGCTGGTCATGGCTAACTTGTTTGACTTTTTTGACGTGGCTATTAGCTAACTGGTCAATGGGTGTGACTTTGTTAGTTGTCTAGTCACAAATGAATTATCTTCTATTTTTATTTTCGATCTTTTTATATATAATTGAGCTATGAAATTTCGGAATTTAAACGTTTTCTATAATTTGGCCTTTGTGTAATGGCGTTTGAAATTGAGTCATAAACATGCAAACTTTCATTTTAGTGCTAATACGGTAACATCATCGTTGATCATGTTGAAGCCGATTCGCGAACGAATGAGATTTTTTTTAAATTGACATAGTCTCCGTCATAGTTTCGACTTGTAGAGTCAAGAGGAAAGCTGGGATATACGCGGGGCGTAGCTAAGTTGGTTGTCATTGTTCTAGGCGGGTCTAAGTTAGTTGACTATTGACGATTGAAACGTCTGGTATTTTTGTTTTTCATCCATCTCAGTGTAATTGGGCAGTTTCAGATTATAAGCGTTTCCCATATTATTTATTGGTCTTTGAAATTTCGTCATAACCACGAAAACATTCATTTTAGAATATTCTACGCTGGCAATTTTTATTTCTTTAAACCCGATTTGCGAGCCAATGAGATTTTTGGCAATTTCAAGTTGTGTTCATTATTTCAAATGAGTCTAATTGCAAAAATCCGGTTAAAAAACTTTTGATTTACAAGGTATGACTTGGTTAGTATATACGTTCATAGGCATAAAGATTGGTCTTTTTGTATTCTGTTTCCCTATTGATTTTTTTTTGTACTTATTCGATTTGTATGCTCTCCCTTGTTTTTCTTTTATAGAAACCAGTAGGATATTGTTTCTTTAGCCATTACATGCTTCTCGTTTTCTTTTGTATTAGATTTTTCACGTTTCTTATTTGTTCTGCTATTAAATAAAACGAGGTTTTCCATGCGCTGTCGATTTCTCGGGCTCATGCTTTTCTTGATAGCACGGGATGACGTAAAGTTTAAAAAGTTATTTACAATGCAACATAGTTTCATCGGAAAGCATTAATCATTGATAAATATTTTTCACTGAGAATATATGACTAGATCTGTAAGTTTTATATATTTCATTCGTTTTATCTATTAAATGAAATAGCGCATAAAAACCAAGATACAAAATTAAATGGAGGATGTCAAAATGAATGAATTTATTTTTTTTAAATTATTAAACTGAGAATAATATACCTGAAATGAGCAACGGAACTTCATTAAAGATTTACTGCCAATTACAAGTTTCTAGTCGTTAATTATGAAAAAGCTAGCTGTGATTTGGAAAATTCGTAGCGTCAATTAAGCTCGTTCAAACTCGATTAACCGAAACTTACGACTTTTGGTGGGCTTTAGTAGCGAAATTGCACCATTCTGAAGATTTAATGAGAAAAGGCGTGATCATCGGTGATAGTATCAGGTAAGACGCCAAGAATGACATCGATTGCAGGATTTACGATAAAGTGTAGCAAACATTAAACTGAGCTAAGAAAATAAACCTTCGAAATTTTTTTTGACCGGCCCAAAAAAACAATCCAAAACTTAAAATTCCTGTTTTCTTGACGTAAAATAATAAAATCTGAAATCAATAACTCTGCACCAAGTTCGTAATTTTTCTCAAATGTGAAAACTCCTTCCGTGTTAATTTTTAAAAAACAAATCCAATTTTATTTTCCTTACCTGTGGATCTGGCAATAGCTCCGATCAGGACTGGAGGGATGGCCATTATGACGCAGCCAAAAGCCGCGACGTACGACAAGATCTGAGCTCTGCTGGCCGATTTGCTGGACAGCACCCTTTGAAAATACACCTGCGAAAATAAATAATTATTCATACATATTTCTTCGAAAAAAAATATGTACGTTATTCTGAACTTGGAATTTACTAATTGTAAATATGGATTATCGCTGAAAAATTATTTTAAAAAATGCAAGATAAAAATTAAACTTCTATTTTAACCCCTAAATAACATGATTTAAAAAATATTAATATATTTAACTACCTACAGCGATATTTAAAACCAAAACGCTTTTTATTTATTTTTTTTCCTGTAAACGTATAGAAATCCAAAAATTACATTTTTACATTTTTTCCTTATTCACTTAGTACTTTTTTTAATAAGCTAGATACCAAGTATAAAATTCACGAAATGACGCGATTTGCCTTCTAAATTTGGGCGAGTTAACCATTGCAACACATCAACTGTGCTGGTTTGCCTAGTAGAAAGCAACAGAAAATGACTTTCTAGTTTTGTCATAAAAACTGGCCTTTTTTTAATTGTGTTTATTTTATTGATGATTTTCTTCTGAAACTTCCTTGGATTATCTTATGCCACGTTTTTCGGCGTAATTCGAGTTGTTTGTTTAATTTTTTATTTGTTTATCGCTATTTGTACAAAAATATACATTGAGCAGGTAGGAAATTTGCCAGACTATGAGGCGGTGGGAAATTAGCCAGCCTGTGCTTTAATTCTCTGTTTTGTCAAGGAAATTATCTATTTTCATCCTACAATTAATTATAATTTTAACCATGTTTTTATTGGACTTTTATCGTTAGAGGCCGGATCGCGGTGGTTAGGTTCGGAGGTTGGGCTTTAACCAACTCGTTCGCATTATCATTACTCATAGACCTATGTGCCATGTGCCAACCACCAAGGCGATGCAGTTCATGGTATGGTCCAGCAAAAGCACTACGAGAGGGTCGACGGAAAACCTGTCTCGGACAGCAGTAACCGCGCTGAAGGAGTGCAGATTAGGTAGGCAATCGAATCACCCCAAATTGCATACAGTCCTGCCGTCTAAACGCTGTTGTACGATCACGAAGTATATGCGGTACACACCACATTCGTAATTCTTAGACCGACTCTCTCTTTCGACACGAGCCGAAAACAAGGATGCCAAACTTAAGCTTCAAAAATTTAACTCGGTAAAAGTGGGGCGGAATACTTTCCGGAAGGGTACAGCCGGGAGGACACATGGCGGAGCAGCCTGTTGCCAAAGTATCATCGCTGTCCTCAGGTGACATCTACCCAGGGAGTCTTGGCTCGCTTAATGTGGAACTACGACGACTTCGGGTGGTACAATGTGGTTAAGACTCGGGACCCAAGAATGGTGTACCTCATCCACGTCACTTTCTCACTCTAGGTTCCTTCATTGGTCCCTGTGACCCCTCTCAACCCTTGTCTACAACCCTGTCTAGGCGCAAAATAATGGTTCAGCCCTTAGGGCGTGGAAACCTCTGTGAAACACAAGCTGTACTCGTGTTGGCCTTGGGTCGGCATGGAGCGGCAGGTACTTTACCAGAGGCACACGTGGGTTACGGTACCAGATCCAGTCTGCATATTCGGAGGAGGGTGCACAACCATCTGTACTACGGGGTAACAGAAATATACCAAGGTTCAGCCCCTGTTACAATGGGTATGGACTCGTAGTTGGACGTGGTGAGACCCCTGGCGGGTACTTAGAAAAGAGGCTGTCACGAAACTTGCGCATGACCATCGTTATACACCCGGCCTCATGGGATACGGCGGATCGGACGGCAGCGTATAAGCGTTGAGGACGCTATGATTATGCTGAAAAGTCTCTCGAATGCGTGAGTAGTGGCGGATGGGAACGGGTAATGAATCGGTTGCTCCTACTCAAGTATACTTGCACGTAGGTGAAGGCTGAGCTCGATGGGAGGCTTTTACCATAGGCGGTCTCCTCAGGGGGTGGTTAGCAATTCCACTATAAACCAAACCGTGACCGGAGCGGATCCGGTAGTTTTTACGCTGGGGAAGCCCTAATACTCTTGGGGGTAGAGTGGCCTTCTCTATCTAGGGAGCGCGCGGGAGACCAGGCTGATGTATTTCGGCTTAGGTAGGCAGTAACAACCTTCTGTCGTATGCGGAGGTGTGTCAGCTCTTATCTTGAGAATCAAAACATCCGATAGGGCCGAATAGACTAGGTGCGGACGTTAAAGATCCTCATTGCCCTTTTTAGGACGACCGAGTATACAGGAAGCAATGTACTACGGGGTAGCAGAAATGTTCCAAAAGTCTAGCTCCTGCTACCATGGAAACGGACTCGTAGTGGCTTAGTGGTGGGGCTCCTGGTGGGAACATAGAGAAGACGCTGTTCTTTTAGGTGACCTCCGCCCAAGCACTTACGTATGACCTTCGTTGCAACCCCGGCCTCACGGGAGACGAAAGATCGGACCATCGAAGCGTATAGCGTTGAGGACGCTCAGACTACTCTGACGGAGTCCCTCGAATGCATGAGAAGTGGCGGATGGGAACGGATAGTGGTCGGTAGTGCCTACACGAATGGCGTCCTATCCCGAAGGCGTCCGGTATGGCCAAAATGAGCAAGGTACGGACGTTAAAAAGTTCCTCATTGTCCTTTTCAGGACGACCGAGTATATACGAGAACCTTATGCCCTCAGCTTCGCCGAAGCAAAGTCGCGTCCTGGCCTGTCTAAAGTTCCGACTTTGGAGGAAACAGGGTTGTTTTATTGTATATGATAATGATAATTTTGTGTTAAGAGTAAATGTATTTATTAGCGTAAATGTATAGTGTATACGTTGATCCTCAATTAGGTTAGTTATATAATAGGTGTAAAGGGTCGTGGAGGAGTAGACGATATTCCTCCACCACCCTGAGTAAATGTTATGTAAATAAGAAAGAATGTATTTAAGAAGAATAAATGCATAAAAGGAAGGTGTTAGGTGTTGGTGGCTGAAGTTACCTAGTTGTTGGTAGCCCAGAGGCCAACCTGGGCGTCTGGATGGATAAGATCGATTTCTGACATCCAAAACCCAAAGTGAGTGATTCTCAAAGCCTACCGGTAGTTTATTGTAAATTACAAAATCTGGAATTGCCGGTGGACTGCGAGAAGTGATAGGCTCAACTGGGTACATTTGTGTACATATGTGCATGTGCAGATTTGAACATAGTCAGATGAGTCAATAATCAATAATAAAACCAAATAAAATCAGGCTTGGTTTAGTGTGATTAAATTATAAATTAAGGCTTACCTGCCATGGAATCCCACCGAGAATGAGGAGGAGGCCGTAGTCGAGGTAGAAGCCGTACTCCTCAGGCTTCACCGCTCCGATCCAGTCGACTTCCTGACTAGAAAGAGGCTTGACGTGCTCATTTGCCCACGCGAACGGGACGCACATCCACTGAAATAACAAAAAAAAATTTAATTAAAAATACATTAAACAAGAAAAATCGAGTTGGGAAAAATCTTTTTGCATCGATTCAGAAAATGTAAATATTCAATTTAACTAAAAGGTTATGCTATTTTTGTTTCCATCTCATTTAGTTGTAATTGGATGTGGAAAGTTGAATCTAAACATTTTTCTTATATTTGTTTATTTGCCTTTGAAATATTTTCATAACCACGCAAAACTTTCATTGCAAATATAAAACGTGGTCAAATTGGTTTATGTTGAACGATTTCAAGACAAAATGAGATTTTTCGACATTAGAGGATTGACATGGTTTCGAATCGATCTTAAGAGTCGAATAGAATCAAGAAAAAAGCCGGGAAAATAAATTATGATTGGTTTTTTTCGTATAAAAGAGACCTATTTTCAATCAAACAGAAATATTCGAAAAAAAAAATTCAAAAATAAATAAAAAACAGGGAAAACATGCCTGAGATATATATATATACTTTTATTTTTTATTTCTCCCGCAATATCTGGAAATTATCCTTTGATATTTGAAGCACCGCATAATATACAGAGAAAAACGTTTACGAGAATTTTTCAAAAGAAACATTACTCTATTATTTTATATATATTCCTTTTTCCCCTTATTAAGTTTGCTTCTCTTTAATAATATTTTATTATCAAACCGCTTATACTAGAAAAAAAGTTAAGCAAATTTTAATTTAAAAATGGCAAAAAGGATGAAAATTCAAAAGGTGGGGTTGAGATGGGAAGTTAGTGTCCGAGTGGATCGAGGTCACGACAGCTCAAGTGGTAGAGCAGCGGCGTATCTAGCCGAAGATCGTGGGTTCGAATCCCGCTCGTGCCATTGATTTTTTTATCTCAACTAAAAACTTTAATTAATTGTAATACCAGGAAATTAGTGAATTTTTATTTAAATTTGCATAAACTGCTTGTAGAGACCTCTCAGGTTTCTTACTGGCAAAGAAACAGGATTAATTTCGGCCAATATCTTAAGATGTAAACCTTAGGACGATAGATCCAAGTAAGTGAGTCATTTATTTTAATTTTGGAAGTGTGATAGACGGTCCATGATAGATAATCCACGTCTTTTAAAAAATCCGTTTCAGATTTTTTCGGAACAGTCGCCTGCGGTTGGGGTCCTTCACTAAGTCCTGGAAGATTGCGGAAATCGTCATGCTCCAAAAGCCTGGACAGGACCCAAAGTCGGTACAAAGCTACTGACCGATAAGCCTATTTCCTATTTTAAGCAAACTTTTTGAGAGCTGCTTAAAAAACCGAATCCTTCCTTACGCGGTAGACGTTATACCGCTACACCAGTTTGGCACTGCGAACTCTACATGCCACCTTGATTACATGAAGATATGGTCCGAGGATTCGAACAAAAGAAGCACACAGTGGCAGCTTTTTAGGCCTAAAGCAGGCTTTTGACGTCGGGTCTGGCATGACGGTCTACCGTTTATGCAAGTCCCTAGGCCTGCGCAATACTTATACGAGGCGCTAAGTTGCTTTCTAACAAACAGGGAGTTCAGAGTAAAGGTCAACAACGATGTATCTGCCAACAAGCCTATATTATCAGGTACGCCTCAAGGGTCGGTTCTATCACCGATACTCTTCAATATCTTCATGCACAATTTCCCCACCCCAGAAAATGTCAATGTTGCAACAAATGAAGATATTGATGAGTCGCATGACTGTGTTCAAGCAGCGTCACAATCACTTCTTTCTGTATAGAGTGGAAGCTGGTCATCAATCCCTCCAAATGTGAGGCGAAAGTTTTCACGCTAAAAAGACCCAATATCCCCCCCGTACTCTCCATAGAAGAAACAAGCATTTCATGGAACCCGCCTGGCAGCCATCAAGTTCTTGGGTGTACATAGATAGAAAACTCAAATGGAATTTTCACATCAACAAGAAGCTATCGGAGGTGTACGCTCGATTGGCCATGCTCTACTGCATGATAAAGTCCAAACTAAAGCCAGAAATGGAACTCCTGCTCTTCAAGTCCCTAAGACATAAGACCTTTAATGCTCTACGGTAGCGAGGTCTGAGGAGCGGTTTCCACATCAAAACTAAAAAAGATCCAAATCCTGCATACTCCTAGGTCGCTACGGATGCACAGTGATTTGTCCGGAATGCCCAGTTTCACCGCGAGTTTCAACTGGAGCGCATCGAGGTGGCCCCAGGTCAGTCCACTTAACCTAGGCAGCAGGGTGGCCTCCCGTCTAAGACCAAGAACATTGCTAGACGTCTTCAGGTGATATGTGAAAATTTCCGTCATATGTGATATTTCCTGTGAAATGCGATATGTTCTGTGATATTTAAATTTATATTTAAATAGTAGTATAAGTGTTTAAGCTGTTACAAAAGCTGCCAATGCCAATGGGTTCCTGTGGACCAATATCACTAACACATGCCATTATAAATCTCTTCAATCTCAGAAACACTAAGATAATTGTTGGGCTAGTGAAAATTAAATTTAAGAAAAAATTAAACAAGATTTTTTCGAAAATCACGCTCAACCGATCCACAAGAAACTTTAACTGGGCTTACAACAATATAAACTACACGTAGTGACATAAAAATGAACTTCGAAAATAAATGAAAAGCGGGGACATAAAATAAAACGTTTAAAGAGTTTTTGTTCATTTCATTCTTAATTTTAAAATAATCCAGTTTTTCAACAGTTGTTATAACCATTTAGTGGTCAATTGATCAAGTTACTTCTTTCAATTAATTTATTCTTTTTATGAAAGGTCTTGGTTGAGATAAAAAAGTCAGTGTCACGAGCGGGATTCGAACCCACGACCTTCGGCTTAATACGTCGCTGCTCTACCACTTGAGCTATCGTGATTTCGATCCTCTCGAACACTTCCCACTTTTTGCCTTTGCTTTGTCGTTGAGAATCCAATCCTGATTACGTAAGTTTGAGATGGAGAGTAGGTATCAGCCGAAGGTCGTGGGTTCGAATCCCGCTCGTGACTCTGACTATTTTATCTCAAACAAGACATTACATAAAAAGAATAATTAACCGAAAGATTGTTATAACGTTGATTTTGAATAAAAATTTATGGATTTTTAAGGGGAACACCAGTTATGGCGGAACGAAATTGTCCCCGGAAAACCAGCCGAAAAAATTTGTCCTTTTATTGGAGAAAATGGTGCTCGAACTAATTCGTATAGTTTTTTTCTCAAACAAGAAATTTTATTGTTCTACTTAAGCTTCTTTCGACGACTTTTGTAATTTTTTATATTTTATATTTATATTTTTTATAAATATTTTCAAGTTCAGGTAATATAATCCTGCATATTATATTTTTATCCTACGTAATAAATTATTATTTGGAAATCGTGAAATCCGGTCTGGTGTGACGTAAGTTTTAAAAAAATATTTTCTTTATCGTACCTACGTTTCGATCTTTATTGAGATCATCTTCAGAGCTCAAAGTGTTTGTTTTCCGTGTAGATGTGTCATTCTTGTCTGTAGTGCTGAAAGAGCCACTACGTAAAAAAATTGACTGATATNATATATATATAATCGCCTTGAAATACATGAACCGGCTGAAAACCATATTAAAATTTATGTTTTAATTTTTGAACTATTGAAATAAACTTTTCTCCGAGTCTTTTTGTTTTATCATTTGTTTTTCTTAAGCCACTTATCTTTCCTTGACCAGCCCTAATAAAATCGACAAAATGCCATCATCCCATTTGGAGTTTTGATCGTCTCATCGTAGAAAATGTAATTAAAAATATAACTCGTAAAGCTTAAGCGTAAAATAAGTTTGCTTACCAGGCCGATGAAAATGCAGAACAGCTGGATGACATCGGTGTAGGCGACACTGTAAAGTCCGCCGAAAAGGGTGTAAAAAACCGCTATGCACGAACTCAGGATGACGCTCGTCCTGTGGTCCATGTCAATGATGACGCTCAGGGTAGCTCCTACGATCAAACAGAGTCATCATAAACACTTGCCATAATTGTTTTCAATATAATCCTCGAGCCCGGCTTGTAAATATTTAATAACAGTGTCTAGTCTAGCTAAAACGCAAAGTGCTTTTTATGTCTAGACAAAGGAAATAACATTCAATGAATTAAGGTTTTTAGTTGAGATAAAAAAGTCAGTGTCACGAGCGGGATTCGAACCCAGTATCTCAACGATGCACTCGGAGACTCTTTATCTCAACTAAAAACCTTAATTAATTGAAATATATTAATTGGTCAAGCGGACTACGAAAACTAGTGAATTTAATAAGTAAAAATGATGTATACCTTCACTAAAGCTCTCCTTGGCCATTTCATTTGTCGCCGAGAATCAAATAGATTACACGACATTTGAAAAATGGCAAAAAGGAGGGAAAATTCAAGATGGGAAGTTCAAAAGGTGGGGTTGAGATGGGAAGTTAGTGTCCAAGTGGATCAAGGTCACGTTAGCTCAAGTGGTAGAGCAGCGGCGTATCTTTTTATCTCAACTAAAAACCTTAATTAATTGAAAGATATTAATTGGTCAAGCGGACCAAAAACTAGTGAAAGGAAATAACTTTTTTTTAATTCAAGACGGAAGACAACTTTGTAATTAAGTCAATTTAAGGTTTTTAACTATGTATTATTGTTGTCATTAAAGGTCTGGGATTCATCGAAATATTGCATATTTTCATCCGATAGTGGTTTTTTAATATAATTCCAGCATATAAATAAAACATAAATAACTAATACCCTCTCATCGCCCAATTAAGAACAGGACCTAAAACCCTTCAAGAAATTTTTTTTAAATGCTGTTGAATTTAACGTTTCTCGGGCAATTTGGATTCTGTTGCTTGTATTTCTTTAATAATACATTTTTCTTCTCTTTACTCCTGAAGACAATTCTTAGGGGTTTTCCTAGATATAGCTTTTTTTTATCGGTTATTAGTCCGATCGGAAAGTTTCTTATCCAGCGTATTTATTTAAGTTGAACTGATATTTTTTGCTAGGTCTATGCTCGCTGGTGTTCTGAAAAACGAGAGAGAATGTACGGACCTAGAAAAGTGATGTGCCAATTAGTTCAACATATCTATATACTCGACAAAACAAACTCACTATTTTTCTTATTTTTTTTTAATTTTACGAGGGTTCATATAAACCCTCAGGATGCCGGTGTTTTTGAAAAATAAACCATTTGTAAGTAATTCGGGTTCCAATGCAGGGACGGTGGATTCGAACCCGGGACTTTCACCTTACAGTGATGAGCGCCATGTCAACGCCTAAACCGTTGCGGCCACCGACGCCCCTAATTTTTTTTTCTATGCACTTTTTGATTTCGTACATTTGTACATTTCAGCAATTATACAAAAAAACTGTATATGAATTTCTCTGAACCAATGGCGCTATAAAAAATAGTGTTTAATATTTTGTTTTAGATTAGTTTCAAATTTTTACCTTTTTTATGGAGAAAAACTATTCAGGGTACCTCAGATACAATTCAACTTTAAAATTTCAAATACGACAGGATACACATCATTTTGACGGATTTTGTACCCTGAAAATAGTAGTGCAAAATTTAAATTTGTCAAAAAATGACAAAGTTATGACAAACGTTTTTCTCCAAAAAAGGTAAAAATTTGAAACTACACTAATATTAAATTAATTAAGGTTTTTAGTTGAGATAAAAAAGTCAGTGTCACGAGCGGAATTCGAACCCACGACCTTCGGCTAAATACGCCGCTGCTCTACCACTTGAGCTAACGTGACCTTGATCCGCTTTGACACTAACTTCCCATCTCAACCCCACCTTTTGAACTTCCCATCTTGAATTTTCCCTCCTTTTTGCCATTTTTCAAATGTCGTGTAATCTATTTGCTTCTCGGCGACAAATGAAATGGCATGGAGAGCTTTAGTGAAGTATACTTCATTTTAACTTATTAAATTCACTAGTTTTCGTGGTCCCCTTGACCAATAATATCTTTCAATTAATTAAGGTTTTTAGTTGAGATAAAAAAGTCAGTGTCACAAACGAGATTCGAACCCACGACCTTCGGCTAGATACTCCGCTGCTCTACCACTTGATCTATCGTGACTTCGATCCACTCTGACACTAACTTCCCATCTCAACCTCACCTTTTGAATTTTCCCTCCTTTTTGCCATTTTCCAAACGTCGTGTAATCTATTTGATTCTCGGCGACAAATGAAATGGCCGTGGCTCGTGACATTGACTTTTTATCTCAACTAAAAACCTTAATTAATTGATAGATATTAATTGGTCAAGCGCACTACGAAAACTAGTGAACTAATATTAAACACTTTTCTTTTTTCTTTTCTTTTTTTATAGCGTCATTGGTTCAAGAGAATTTCTGCCGGGCTATCTAAAAAAGACACCCTGTATAGGTATATAAAAGAAAAACAATTAGATTTCATTAGAACATGAAATATCACAGTTCATTGTGGTTGTTGGTCGAGTGTTTCAGGGAGTTCAACCAAAATCAAACAAAAATGAACTTAGCTCAACGGCCACATCGTTCAGGGCTAAACAGATAAAATGAGTTTAATCTAAAAGGTCAATTAGTTTGGAAATTTCCTCCTTCGGTAGTTTGGAAATCCCTAGGGTCAAGTGGACAATAGCGAAGTACCTTAGAGATCGATAAGTATCAATCTAGCTGTAATTGCAGCCTGACAGATAAGTATCGATCTATCACCTGTGTCCCAATGGAGTGGAAGACCGAACAACCCAAAGGTACATCTTGGATGTGATTAATTAAACGGTTTGAGGATCAAAATGTGATTAAGTTCTAATAAACTCAGAGATCAAACGTAAACTTTATACTGGTGTTAATAAAAGACGCGCAATTTGTTCCACTTCAGTTAAAACTCGTTCTCTATCGAAGATTGATTGCACGTTGAAACGGTCAATAGGCGCTCTCGAGTTGTCTGGGATAATTGAAAACTCACCCAAAGCTGCGAGAATCCCAGCAGCCCAGAAGACCTCCCCGCACAGAGCGGGAAGGAAAAGCAGACCGCCCATCCGACCTCCGAAGTTGTCCTGGAGAGGATCCAGCATGGTGACATAACCCTGCTGCCTCATCTGATTAGCGAAGAACACACCGCCTGAAAAAAAATCCTTGTTTATAAATATTGCAGGGTCCACTCCGCTAAAAATTAATACAAAGTCTTAAAATCTAGAGCATATCTTTTATTTTTCCCAACTTTTTAAAGCCCATATTAACTTCTATTTATTTAAAAAAAGGTAAAATAAAATGAGTTTAAAGAAAAGAAATTCAGCTTTCTATTCATGGTGAATCCACAGGGGTTCTAAATCGAAATTTTGAACTTTTGCATAACGATAACCATAATTCTTATGTAAGACTCTTTTCGACCCTAACTCCAGAAAAAGATACGCCCTCCTGAGTACCCGTACGAGGCCGCTGGCCTAAGAGCCGAGGAAAAATTAGCGTGGGGAGTAGAGCTGAACCAGGGGGGCAGAAAAGCTACCTGAAACGTCGAACAGTGGGATATGGCCGAGGACACCCTAATACATAAGGTAAAAGAACAGTTAAAAAGGATCGCAATTGAGAAGAAGGTCGTGTTGGCATGGGCTCCCGTCCACATAGGAATAGCCGAAACGAAGAAGCAGACAGGGTTGCCAAAGAAGCCGCCGAAAGCCCCTCGACTCTTCCCAACCTGTACTCCTAGCGGAACTAAAACTATTAATTTTAAATAGTTCAGTAAAAAGAGAATGGAAAAACCGCTTGCCTCGTAGGTTAAGAAAGACGTCGGTCCTGGTTCGAAAAGGGAAAAGGCCATGCAGATAAGACTAGGCATAGGCCATACAAGAATAACGCACGGGCACCTCTCAAGCGACGGGGTGCCCGTAATGCTAGGGTAGAACAACGGTCGAGCACCGTTCCAATTGTAGAAGGCTTGACGTATATAAACAATATTTTGGCATATCATCGGGGAGTACCTCAAGGCTACATGGATTTTGGATTTTTAAATGTGTGTTTGTGTTGTGTCTATGTTAATTCGTTAACGTTATTAAATGTTTTTGTAATAATAGGTCGAAAATATCAGAGACGTGTTCATGCATTTTTGCCGATCGAAGTCAAGCTCAAGTGATTTGAGCGTATTGAGCCGAAGGCCGTGTGTTCGAATCCCGATCGTGACACTAATTTTTCATCTCAACCAAAAACTTTAGATTATAAAAATAATTAATCGGAATAATTAAACAGTCAATTATAACCAATAAGGCAAATATGAAGTAATGAAAAGAGTTCACTAAGCATTAATTTTAATAACGTCCTTACTGGTCTGGGGACAATCTGCATCTGCTAAAAATTTCTTTGAATTTTTGGTCTTAACAATCTTGGGTATCAAAAAAATGAAAAACGTTTTGTTAAATTACGACAGCTCACCCTATTATGCATTTATATTTGTTATTGAGTAATTTATTTACATAAAAATGGGGCTAAATTTGACAATTTAAATAATAAAAAACCTTCTACTCGTTTCATACCATTGACACAGTCAGAAAATTGTACCAATTACTGGATGCCCAAACTTTACAATTGTTTGACCAAATTCAAATCCTTGTCTTTTAATATATTGTTAAAAAAATGTTTTTAACATGTCGATCAGGTTTCGTGGTACGATTGACCAATTATTGAAAAATGGCAAAATTCAAAAGGTTGGATTGAGATGACATGCTGGTGTCCGAGTGGATCGAAGTCACGATGACTCAAGTGGTAGAGCAGTGGCGTATTTAGCCGAAGGTCGTGGGTTCGAATCCCGATCGTGACACTTACTTTTTATCTCAACCAATACCTTACTTAAAGAATAAGTAATTAATGACCTTAAAATACTTGCTTTTCGCTCAATAATTATAGTACTTAACCGGTTCAATTTTTATGATTATTATTTTTAGTATAATTTTGTAACGTCAATTTTTTCTATGTACATATAGTAAAGTGTATAAATAGAGATTCAGGTTTAATTTTAGAAATAGAAGAATAATTAGTAAAAACTAATTATTGATCTTAAAATACTTGCTTTTAACTTGATAATTATAGTAATTAAGTGGTTCAATTTTTTTGATTATTATTTTTAGTATCTTTTTTAGCGTCAATTTTTTTTCTATTATGTTTTTTTTTTCTAGGCGTGTATTATATTATTTTTAAACAGATATTCAGATTTAATTTTAAAAACAGAAGGATAATTGGTAAAAACTAATTAATCACCTTAAAATACTTGCTATTCACTTGATAATTATAATAATTTACTGGTTTAATTTTCATGATTATCACTTTTAGTATAATTTTTTTAACTTCTACTTTCTTAGCGTCAATTTTTTTCTATGTATGTATAGTATAACGTATAAACAGAGATTCAGGTTTAATTTGAAAAATAGAAGGATAATTGATAAAACTAATTAATGACCTTAAAATACTTGTTTTCACTTGATAATTATAGTAATTTACTGGTTCAATTTTTATGATTATTACTTTTAGTATAATTTTTTTAACTTCTATTTTCTTAGCGTCAATTTTTTTCTATGTATGTATAGTATAATGTATAAACAGAGATTCAGATTTAATTTGAAAAATAGAAGGATAATTGGTAAAACTAATTTATGACCTTAAAATGCTTTCCACCTTACTTAAAGATTTAATTGAAAAGTTTTTAATATGTTGGTAACCCAGGCTTTTATGTCTGTTAATGAATTTAGTAAAATAGATTTTCTGATTTAGATAAAATAATAAAACAAAATAGATTTTACAATATTCTTAAAAACTGAAATTTTTAAGAATTAAATTCACGAATTTTCTGGTACGCTTGACTAATTAATATATTACAATTAATCAAGGTTTTTAGTTGTGATAAAGAAGTCAATGGCTCGAGCGGGATTCGAACCCACGATCTTCGGCTAGATACGCCGCTGCTGTACCACTTGAGCTATCGTGCCCTCGATCCACTCGGACATCAACTTCCCATCTCAACCGCAAGGCGTATCAAGCCGAAGATCGTGGGTTCGAATCCCGCTCGTGCCATTGACTTTTTTATCTCAACTAAAAACCTTGATTAATTGTAATTTTTAAGAATATTGTAAATATTCTACTAGTACTAATAGTGGGTTTTAAAACATGCATTGAAAATTTCTTTTGCCCCTAAAAAAAGAAAAGTTTTATTTTTATATGTAATACCCCGATATGACATATCCTTAGGACGTATCTGTACCTACAACATGAAATGTAAATTCTGTGATATATCTTGAAAAATTATTTTAAATTGATAGTCGTATAGGAAAATTTATTATATTATTTGTCCACATTTCTCTTCAAATGAAAACCTTTGGTGTTGTTTTTTTCAAATATACACTACGCAAAATCGACATTTTAAGGAGTGGATTGTGTGGATAAATGAAAATATTTCAGTATTAACATTTTTGCGAGATTCTACGAGTAGATGAACCTGTATTTTCGCCGTTATCAATCCATCAGAGGCACCGAGAAAAAAAGATAACGAAGACAGATGCACCCTAGTCATCAAAATCTTATAAAAGAGATGCTACTTTACAAAAATCACATAGATTATCACTGAAGATGACGAAAGACTGAAATGCGTCTCACAAACCAACGCAGCAGGATAGGCAGACGAGAATTGTTTTTAACGACCAAATTACACGTTTATTACCCTGCAGGCCACATGGAGGTATCCCACAATTTAAGCACGAAACGTTTTCATGGCACATTTATTAGCCTAATTAAGAATATAACAATGAAAATACCACAACTAATCGGTCAAAATAAAAGAAAAGTTCGTAAATCTACAGTTTGCAAAAATATCGAAGTGGCATTGAAAAACCTTTCGGGTTGCTCAACGTCCTCACACAGTAGCAAAGCAATGGCAAACAATCCTTAATAAATAATAGCACAGTTAGAGACTTCGTGAAAAAGCTCATTCAAGTTACATGGAACAATAAAGGCGTTAAGCACCTCGAGCTTGTTCCGTATCGCCAAGTTACTGAGTCAGAACTTTATACTCGGCAACATAGAGTTTTAAAAGCAAAATAGTTTCGTTTGAACAAACAAAAGTTGGAACTGTGCCTTTGTGGTTTAAAGGGGCTTAACGAATACTTTGCCAAACGGAGAAAAAAGACAAAAATTGATAAAGAAAGTCACGCCAAACACAATTTATATCACTTTTTTATTCGGAGATCGTGATATGAGGTCTGAAAAACATTTTCTTTTTCGTGCCAACGTTTCGATCTTTATTGAGATCATCTTCAGAGCCAGGGATTTATAAATATTGTTTAAATTTTACAAATACATGTAGGATGTGAAAAAATGAATTTATACAATATTAGAAATTTTAGATTAAAAAAATGAATTTATACAATGCTAGCAATTTTTTCACATCCTACATGTATTTGTAAAATTTAAACCATGTTTTTAAATCTCAGGCCCAGAAGATGATCTCAATAAAGTCCGAAACGTTGGCATGGTAAAGAAAATGTTTTTCTAAAACGTACGTCACATCAGACCGCATCTCACGATCTCCAAATCATAAATCATTGACTAACGGTCACTAAACACCACACATTTACATCTCTTTACTGCATTTTTTCTATATCGTCATCATCATATCGCCATTTGCAGATTCGAAGTATAAGTGTGGAAAATTATTGATGATTTGTTTAAAAATACCCATGAAACCGGAATCTAATTATTTATCAAAACGGTTTTTATGTTCAAGAACTTTTCGTAACAAACTAGTATCTATTTTTCCATCTTAAATTTTATAGTTTTTCCTTATTATATGATCTTTCAAAACTGATAAATTTTATTGTTTTGCAGTTGTTCTTATTGATTTCCGTTCTACTTTTTTTGTTATGTTAATTTTTTTACGAGGGTTCGCAACAGCAGAGGTTCAACCCTCTGGGTGCCGATGTTATTGAGAAAAGCGACCCTGCATTCGAACCCGGGACCTTTACCGTACAGTGCTGAGCGCTGTGTCAACGCTTAAACCGTCGCGGTTACCGATGCCCGAGTATGTTAATTTTGTTAAAGAATTTTTATTTCTTTTTCACGCTCGTTATTGTTGGTCCATGTTGATATTGTATTAGGATTAGTTAGTTGATAAAAGGAATTGTTATGGATAGTAAAGTTAGTGTTGTAGTAAGGAACTACGATAATTTCTGTGAGGATTTGGAATTATTAAATGCCCTGGATATTGTTGTAGGTTGCTTGAATACGATTTGTTGGCTTGCGGTTTCAACCTCCAGTGTGTTAAGATGAATGGAAAAGTGAGGAATATAAATGGTATAAAGGATGGGACAAAGAATGTTCCCTTGTGATACACCAGTTGTGATTGAAAATTCCACCTGTATGCCGCAAGGCTTGTCAGACCATGAGTTGAGTTTGGTCGGTCAAAACAGATGTCGATCCTAAAAGTCTTCGTAGTTATCCAAGTCTTTTATTTAAGTTTCCTCTTAAGTCTCGTGAAGCTATTCGTAGTGGAAGTAGCTCCTTGTTGATCTTCAGTAGATGGCAAGTGTAAATGTACAATGGGTACAATTTCCTCTTTTGCTCTTGTCCTCCTCTTTTGGCAGTAGTCTTTTATAAGCTCAGGGTGTTCTTTCATGTTGGAGGTTGGTTGAATACGATTTGTGTTAGGAGTCTTGCTGTTTTAACCCCATAGTGTTCTGATGTATGGAAAAGTGAGAAGTATAAATGGTATACAGGATGGGACAAAGAATGTTCCCTTGTGATACACCACTTGGCTTGATTGGATTGCTTGGCTGCATTCCAAAATTCCACCTGTATGCCGCAAGGTTTGTCAGACCTTGAGTTGAGTTTTGTCGGTCAAAACAGATTTCGATCCTAAAAGTCTTCGTAATTATCCAAGTCTTTTATTAAATTGTCTCTTAAGTCTTTAAAGCTATTCGTAGCTGTCTAAGTCGTAAGTATCTAACTCTAGTGGAAGTAGCTCCTTATAAATGGTATACAGGATGGGACAAAGAATGTTCCCTTGTGATACACCAGCTTGTATTGGACTTTATATCTAAATATTAAAGCTTAAAGGCGATCCTCAGTTATATAAATATTATTCAGGTTAAGGTATGTTCATAAAGGACCCTATCAAAATCCCAGGCAACATCCAGAAACATACCCAATGATATTTTTTGTTTTTTAGAGTCAGCTACTAATGGGGTCAACTACTCTGAAATTAAATAATAAAATATAATGAAGTGGTGCTTACCAAAAACGAGACTTAGGGCATAACCGAACGGGGCTTGGCACCATATGAGACCGGATGTGTATATGGCTTCTGCGGTGCCGTTTATATATCCACCACCAACCCATGTTGCTGAAAAAATTAAAATATATTTATTAATTGTTTTTAATTTTAATTATTAAATATTTTCTTATTAGATTGTTAAACTGCCTAGAAATAACTTGGAATTCCGTAAGTAAACCAAAAGAAAAATAATCATGTAAAATGTAACGGATTATTTTAATTTATATTTGATTAATTAAAAATCGACTTTATAGCGGATTTTTTTAATCAATTTAAGTTTGTTCTTTTAGGCTCGACCGGAGTCCAAACAATTGAAAATGATCGTTAAATTTACCTGTCATCGTGAATATCCCGACGAAAAGGCCGATGCTCCTTCCCGCGAGCATGACCTCCTCTTCCGAGTCATTTCCGGCCTGTTTTTTCCTCGCCGCCCAAATCCCAACACCCAAAATGAGCAAGTAGAAGAGTACGACGGAAACCACGCCGCTTATGTTAATCATGATCTGAAAATTTAAAAAAAAACATGAATAAATACGAGCTGTGTCCTTTCGAAAAAACTTTACAGACATCAGAAGCAAGCCTGAAAATTGAAGCTTTCATACAATAAATCAAAAGTTTGAATGTTGTTAAATAAAACAAATACTAAAGATTCTTCAAATAAAAAGTAGTGAAAAACAATTTTTGATTCCAACAAAATTTTCCTCCTAGGATAATAAACCATTATTTAAACGTTTGGTACATCCCATAGACCAATAATTTAGGAATGGTTAGGTTTAAGGTTAGGTTAGGTTTAGGTTTAATGTGGAACTACAACGTCGACGGGTGGTACAATGTGGTTAAGGCTCGGGCCCAAGAAAGGTGTACCTCGTGTCCTCATCCTCGCCCCTCCCTCACTCGATTTCCTTCAGTGTTCTCTGTGACCCCTCCCAACACTTGGCTACAGGAGGGGGGTGTCCTGGCGCAAAATAATGGTGCAGTCCTGAGGGCGTGGCATCCTCTCTAAAGCACAAGCTGTACTCGTGTCGGCATTGGGCGGCGGGTGCTTTATCAGAGGCACACGTGGGTTACTGTACCTGATCCTGTCTGCCTAGACAGGGGAGGGTGCCTAACCATCTGTACTACGGGGTAACAGAAATGTTCCAAGGTTCAGCCCCTGTTACGCTGGGAATGGACTCGTAGTGGTACGAGGTGACGCCCGTAGCGGGAACATAGAGAAGAGGCTGACTTCTATCTGTAACCTTCGCACAAAACTTGCCTATGACAATCGTTATAAACCCGGCCTCATGGGATACGGCGGATCGGACGGCAGCGTATAAGCGTTGAGGACGCTATGATTATGCTGAAAAGTCCCTCGAATGGGAACGGGTAGTGAATCGGTTGCTCCATTGGTACAAGGGGGGTATCCGGGCGCAAAATAATGGTGTAGCCTGAGGGCGTGGCAACCTCTGTGAAGCACAAGCTGTACTCGTGTCGGCCTTGGGTCGGCATGGGGCGGCGGGTGCTTTATCAGAGGCACACGTGGGTTACGGTACCTGATCCTGTCTGCCTAGACGGGGGAGGGTGCATAACCATCTGTACTACGGGGTAACAGAAATGTACCAAGGTTCAGCCCCTGTTACAATGGGAATGTACTCGTAGTTGGCCGTGGTGAGACCCCTGGCGGGTACTTAGAGAAGAGGCTGTGAGACCATCGTTATACACCCGGACTCACAGGATACGGCGGATCGGACGGCAGCGTATAAGCGTTGAGGACGCTATGATTATGCTGAAAAGTCTCTCGAATGCGTGAGTAGTGGGGGATGGGAACGGGTAGTGAATCGGTTGCTCCTACGTGTATACTTGCACGTAGTGTGTAGGCTGAGCTCGATTGGAGGGTTTAACCACAGGCGGTCTCCTCAGGGAGTGGTTCGCAATTCCACTACAAACCAAACCGCGGCCGGAGCAGATCCGGTAGTTTCTACGCTGGGGAAGCCCTAATACTCTTGGAGATAAAGTGGCCTTCTCTATCTAGGGAGCGCGCGGGAGACCAGGCTGATGTATTTCGGCTTAGGTAGCCCTGTGCGCGCGGCGTACGGTTCGTTGCTTAATGCGGGCCCGACCACTCGGAATGGGCAATCGGAGAGCGAGGTTGTCTTGGCACATCGAGGCTGAGCTGCCTCTACACCAACGTTGCGGCAGTAACACCCTTCTGTTCTATGCGGAGGTGCGTCAGGTCTGAACTTATACATCAAAACGTCCGATAAGGCCGAATAGGCCAGATGCGGGCGTTAAAGATTCTCATAGACCTTTTTAGGACGAACATAACAACAATTTAATATATATAGATATGAAAATTTATTGTAAATCTAAAAGATCTTAGTTATTATTTAAAATTGTTTAATATAATTATGTTTAATTTTTTGCAAGATTAAGTCGGTTTCAGTGTGAGGGATGAATAAATTGCCTAGGTGGAAATCAATTATTCTACTATTTCAATCGTGTCTAAATGGCCTATAACTAATTATAATTGAATAACTAGTTTATCTTCAGGATTTTCATATGTCACAATTGAAAATTTTCAAGGATTTAAAATTCGTAAAATTGGGTAAACATTTTTTTTAAATTTCATCAGCCGTGAAAGACGGCGTATTTTTCTTTTTTGGCGTGTTTTAACATATCATTTATCGGTTAATGAATAGGGGAAAAAATAAACAAAACCGCGTGTACTTAATTGTCCATCGGTTCGAATGTCGAACGGAATCATTGGCACCAATTGTCCCGTTTAAAAGCAAAGCATAACTGAAATCACTTGGAAATAAACAACCTTCGAATCGATTTCAAATCATTTGCAGATTCATAAAATCCAGTTCGATTCAATTTTTTAAATCGAAATTTAGAAAATCGAAGGATAATTGGTAAAAAAAATTAACTATTAACCTTAAAATACATGCTTTTCACTCGGTACTTATCGTAATTATCTAATTCAATTTTTACGATTATTTTTAGTATAATTTTTTAATGTACATTGTTTTCTATGCATCTGTAGTAGAGTTTGTAAATAGACATTCAGTATTAATTTTAAAAATAGAAGGGTAATTAGTCAAAATAATTATTCGTCTTAAAACACATGCTTTTCCCTTCATAATTATAGTAATTAACTTGTTCAGTTTTTCATAATTATGATTTTTAGAATAATTTTTTTAACGTCTATTTTTTCTTTGCGTGTATAGTGTAGTTTATAAAGACTAATTCAGGTTTAATTATAAAAAATAGTAGGATAGTTGGTAAAAACTAATTAATGACTCAAATAGGTTTCGCGATCAGATTGACCAAATTAAATTATTTTCAATTAATTAATCTTTAAATAAGGTATTGGTTGAGATCAAGTGGTAGAGCAGCGGCGTATTTCTTCGAATGAGTTCGAATCCCGCTCGTGACACTGACATGTTTATCTCAACCAATACCTTACTTAAAGAATATATAATTAATGACCTTAAAATACTTGCTTTTAACTTAATAAGTATAGTACTTAAACGGTTAAATTTTTTTGATTATTATTTTTAGTATAATTTTTTTTAGCGTCAATTTTTTTCTATGTATGTTTTTTTCTAGGCATGTATAGTATTATTTTTAAACAGATATTCAGATTTAATTTTAAAAACAGAAGGATAATTAGTAAAAACTAATTAATGACCTTAAAATACTTGCTATTCACTTGATAGTTATAATAATTAACTGGTTCAATTTTTCTGATTATTATTTTAAGTATAATTTTTTTTAATGTCAATTTTTCTAAGTATGTATAGTATAGCCTATAAACAGAAATTTAGGTTTAATTTTAAAACCGAAGGATAATTGGTAAAACCTAATTAATGACCTCAAAATACTTGCTATTCACTTGATAATTATAATAATTAACTGGTTCAATTTTTCTGATTATTATTTTTAGTATAATTTTTTTAATGTCAATTTTTTCTATGTATGTATAGTATAGTCTATAAACAGAAATTTAGGTTTAATTTTAAAAACAGAAGGATAATTGGTAAAAACTAATTAATGACCATAAAATACTTGCTATTCACTTGATAATTATAATAATTAACTGGTACAATTTTTCTGATTATTATTTTTAGTATAATTTTTTTAATGTCAATTTTTTCAATGTATGTATAGTATAGTCTAGAAACAGAAATTTAGGTTTAATTTTGAAAATATAACAATATTTGATAAAAATCAATTAATGTTCAATTCACTAATTTCGTGGTCCGCTTGACCAATTAACAAATTACAATTAATTAAGGTTTTTAGTTGAGATAAAAAAGTCAATGGCACGAGCGGGATTCGAACCCACAATCTTCGGCTTGATACGCCGCTGCTCTACCACTTGAGCTATCGTGACCTCGATCCACTCGGACACCAACCTTCCTTCTCAATTCAAAAAGTGCGGTTGAGGTGGGAGGTTGGTGTCCGAGTGGATCGAGGTCACGATAGCTCAAGTATTAGAGCAGCGGCGTATCAAGCCGAAGATCGTGGGTTCGAATCCCGCTCATGCCATTGACTTTTTTATCTCAACTAAAAACTTTAATTAATATTAATTAATGTCCTTAAAATTCTTCCTTTTCAATTGATAAACATAATAATTAACTGGTTCAATTTTTATGATTATTATTTTTAGTATAATTGTTTTAACTTCTACTTTTTAGCGTCAATATTTTTTCTATATATGTATAGTATGAGATTCAGATTTAATTTTAAAAATAGAAGTATAATTGTAAAACTAATTAATGATCTTAAAATAGATTTTTATTAGATAATTATAGTAATGAATTGTCCAATTGTTCGTAATTGTGATTTTAGCATAACTTTTTTTAATGTCTATTTTTTCTATGTATGTATAATATAGTTTATAAACAGATATTCAGATTTAAGTTTAAAAATGGAAGGTTATGTGATAATTGTAGTAATCAACTTGTTCAATTTTTCAGGATTATGATATTTAACATAAATTTTTTTAATGTATATTTTCTTCCAAGTATGTATACTATAGTTTATAAACAGACGTTCCGATTTAATTTTAAAATAGAAGGATTTTTGAAAATTGTAGTAATTAACTTGTTCAATTTTTCATAATTAAAATTTTAAAAAAAATTTTATATGCATGTATATTATGCTATTTTATATTATTACTACTTATTTCTATATTATTATACTATATTATATGTATCGTATATTAGTTTATAAACAGACAATCAGGTTAAATTTTAAAAATAGAAGATTGGTGAAAACAAATTATTGACCTTAAAATACTTGCTTAATTATAGAAATAATTATTTTAATCAATTAATCCTTTCGTGAAGTTAATGTTAAAAAGTTATATCGTTTGAACATCGAACAAGTTGAAATCGATTTAGTTTAATGTATTTTTATTAACGAAGACCTTAAAATATTGTAAGGTCATACGTTAAAATATTTTACCATACGTAGGTTGTTTTTAAAGCTTTTATCAGTTTTTAAAGTAATTTTT